GATGATGATGTTATCTTGCAGAATGGACTCTGCTGGGATAATTTTATGATAAAACACTTTTTTCAAATGCCACTGGGTCCAGGCAGGCATTTACTAGCTACGGGGGCAGCAATCAGTTTCTTCAAAATTTACTGTTCTAAGCCCATTAGAGTTCCAGCGCAGCAAGGCTCTCGATGGAAATCGAAAGCGCCTGCCTTCGTCTGAGGATGCTGCATGCAAATCTTCCGGGCTGAACTCCTACCCTTTAGTGTTAGGATGCTTTAGCAACTGATTTATGTAAATTCGCTCATAAAAAATACAGTTTATTTTTAATTGGTGAATATGAATTAGAAAATTAAGGCGCCGGTTTAGCATTCGCCGAACATCCGAGCATCCTCAGCCCATAGCCTGGATCGCACAGGTGAAAAGAAGGGGCTGGAAGCAGCCCCTTCGCCGTGCAGTGCAGCCAACAATAAGCACTCGTCGTCTTATTAGAGACGAACGCATCGTGTGCCTTATTCAGGCATCAGCAGTTAAAAGCATCCCCTTCTTAGGCCTAGCGCGAGCCTCTTCATAAAGCGGACTAATTTTAGCCAAGTGTTGTAATGTGCGAGGGGGTTTTTGTGTGTAAAACATTGGCAGTGGTATCCTGCTCGTATTCCAGCACGAAGCGCTCGCAGATACTGTCCTATACAATAATACTTAACGACCATTGTCTACCCTGATGATTTACATGTGGTTTTCATTTTGGGGGGAAAAAAAAAAGATTTTTTTTTTTTTTTAACGTTCCTGTGTTCCCCTTCACCTAACAAAAACCCCCTTTGGCTAAACCATAAAAAAAAATATCTTTGTGAAGTCATGCTGTTGTTACAGAAAACCTCTCGAAACGAAGTGATGCTGACCTCATTGCGTTAGTGCTACGCGGGGACCGCCAGCACCCGAAAATACAGCGTTAGCCCCAACACCTCTCCCACTAAGTCAACCCAACGTAGGCCCTGCCCGCTTGGAAGCGCATCAAAATCTGAAGTGACATTCTCTAGCAGACACGTTCTCGCTTTAAATTGGTGTTAAAATGCCTTTGCATGAGAACAGGCCCTTTGATGCAATCCCTGCCCCTTCTCTCCATCCCCCCCGAATCCGAGCCTGTCGAGGATTACGGTGTGCAACCTCTGCCGACAGCAGATAAATAACTGACAGTATTTTAGCAGAGTTGCTAGGTTCTCCGCAGAGTAATTTGTTTTCTCCTTTCTCACCAAGTCTTTAATGTTTTGTTATAAACATCTATAGCAAGGCGCTGCTAATAGAAATGACTTATGGCCAAGGATCCGGATAAAAGACTGCGATGGGTTTCCGAGCTGCTTTCTTGCAAGGGCTATGCCAAGGAATGACTCTTCCCTTTGTGCACTTGGGCTTTGCTGGAAACAGAGAGCAAAATGGACAAAGTTCCCAGTCTTGATCAGAACTTTGTGCTGTCCCACAGGTTTTCATTGCAAGGTGATAAAATACTTATTTGATGAACCACGAATGTATTGAGATGGCATTGACCGGTGTGGCACAATCCTCCTCTCCCCCCTGAAACTAACCCACCAGCATTCATAGATGTACATTATTCCCTCTCACTGCCCCCCAACGAGGTCACAGACACTTGACAAATCTTGGTTTGCAGTAATTGGGGTACACCAGCGTGTTCCTCAGCTCTTTTTGCACGCGAGCGTGACAGTGGATGTGCAAAGCTACAAACCCGCTGCACCCCCAACCGTAGTCACGTCATCCAGGTGACGTGTACGTAATTTTAGTATAAGATTTGAGGCTCTTTACGTCGCTCTTTCATGGAGGAGACCTGCAGTGCTTCTTTTAACTCAAGGCATTCACCCAAGCCTTATGGTTTTTCTTTTTTCTCTGTGGGCGCTGTATCATCTCAGCAGTTAAAGACTTGATAAGAGAAAGTTGTTAGAAATCAGTTCTTCTTCCCCTGATTGTACGGGTGTGATAAAAGATCACACGGGGGATCTGTGAGAATTTACACACACATGCAAACAAATAGCTGCTATCAATTCATGTGGAAGATCAGATAAGCCCGTTATCTCGTGTCCGTACGTACCAGTGTGTGACAAGAGCGTGGGGAAGGACATGGGGCAGGAGATACAGGAGCGGGAGGAACGGCGGTGGAAATCACGATGAGGAAATTCAGAAGAAAAAAAGATCTAGATTGCAAAAGTATCTGAAGATTTCTGGTCTAAGGGAAAATGGTGTGTACAGAGATAGCGCTGTGCCCAGTTGCCTGTTTTTAATGTAGAGTATCACAAAGTCAAAGAGCTGAAGAAATGAATCCGTGGAGGAAAGCTTGTTTTGTCACACCGTTGCTGTACTAACATGTGGTTGCCCACCGTGTGGACCTGGTCCCCTTCACTCAGGAGCAGGTCCTTGGGAAGGGCTTGTCCCTGATAGCGCAGTCAGTGTTGTGCCTTCTGTGATGGGGCAGCTCTTCATTAGTGAGCTGAGCACAAGTCCTCTGCAAGCT